CACTATATAAACTGGGGCAGTTATCTGGAAGGGCTAGATCACTGCTCAGTCGGGCTAGGTATCGGTCAGCTGGTGGTGAGCGGTTGTGTTCTCTTCCCTTGTTATTTCCCTTATCATTATTATTGGTGGTAGCAGCAGTGGTTTGTGTTATACCTTAGTTACTGGACTGTTCTTATCTCAACCCGTGGGAGTTACATTCTTTCTATTCTCCTCCACATCCCTCCAGGAGTGGGGGGAGGAAGCAGGGGGGAGTTGAGCGAGTGGCTGCGTGGTTGTGGGTTGCTGGCTGGGCTTAAACCACAACAATCTTTATATCTTTATAGAACTAAAATTTTATTTTCAGCTTATTATAAATGTGAATAAAAGGATATGCACTCCCCCCAGAAATATTTTCTTTAAATTCAGTAGGTTTTTTCTCACACTGAGCAATTTCTTTGCCAATAGTGCAACAAAGAAGCATTCTTTTTGACTATGAACATTCTAAAGCAGCTTTTGTCTGCCACTAATTCACCAGATCACATATCTAACTTCATAGGTAATAAAATAAAAACTTGTTTCTGTTGAAAACCTTACAATCCAGGAAAATCGTGATTATTCTTATGTATCCTTTCTTCTTTGTAATAGGATCTAGGTCAGATCTTAGGCATAAGGCCAACAGATGAAAGCAGTGGAAAGATAAAGACAATTTTGAAATAATCTATTATTTTTAACTGCTGTCTTGTAAAAAAAGAATGAGACAAAAAAAACCACAAACAAAACAAAACCCCAAAACAACCGAGACATTTCCCTATCCAGATATGTTTAGATTTGCAATAAATCCAGATTCAGCTGCAAGCATGCCACAGATTGATTATTCATGCAAGAATTCTGTCTTGTGTGTGGTTTAGATGTTTATTTTTCTAAATGAAAATTACATCAGCTAAATGTGTCTTTCAAACCAGTAAGGCAGACTCTGCGGGATTTTTGTTTCAGTAAAAGCTGTAAAATAACTAAGGGCAAATTACTCCATTAGGTTTCCACAGATGTGTCTTTTACATCCAAACCCTGGGGCTGTATATGTAATCTCAGCATGCACCTTTCCAGCTTATTTAAGGGGCTAAAGATTGCAAAAAGGTCACGAGAGGCAACCTGCCTTAAAAACAGGAGGATGGCGAGACTGTACGGGATCAGCTGACTGGCACAGGTGAAGTTTTCAGCTTGATAAACGGTGTGCTCTTACTACATAGCCATGTAGTTGCTAGTGTTGGCAGAAAGACTGAGGTAGACATTTATGCCCCAAGAACGTGGGAAGGGCAGGATTCTCTCTTTCATCATCAGCAAGACCAGACAAAGTTGATGACAAACCTGCAGCTCGGTTACAGCTTTGTCTTAGGTTACTCTCTGAGCCATGCAGTTTCCCTGCTCCCCATACTTGCCTTCCCCACAGATTTTGCAACAGAATTAGATTTGATTTGTAACCACCATTGCAGCAACAGCTGCCTTACTAGTACTAGCTTTGGACTTCATAAGCATCCTAAGCACTGTGATTGCCAGCTGGAAGTCCCTCTGGACACTGTGCGATGAACCTTGATACCCTCTCCAGTTCCTTTTTCTGTAGAAAACCTCCTTATCTGACATGTGCCTTAGCATAGTTTCCAGGAGGATCTGCTCCCTGATTTCACCGGGCACTGCAGTGAGACTGACCAGCCTGTAGTTCCCTGGGTCTTTCTTTTCTCCCTTTTTAAAAATGGGTGTTATGTTTCCCCTTTTTCAGTCACAGGGAACTTCACCAGCCTGCCATGACTTCTCAAATATGATGGATAATGGCTTGGCAACTATATCTGCCAGTTCCCTCAGGACCCACATCTCATCAGGTCCATCAGTGAATTCATGCTTACAGCATGGGCCGTTCATTAACTTGTGTGAAGATGTTACCAAATCCTCCTCTGGTCCCATAGCTTTGCTCTGGGAGTATGAGAGGGGGAAGACAGGTGGGAAGATGACGCCTATCTGTGATGCCAGTGTATCTGTAGGTGGTGTCATGAAGTAATAATTACTAGCAGCCACTGGCAGTGATGGCAACACCTGAATGACCTCAACCCATTTACAAAGAGAAAGATATCAAATAGTAAAGAAAAATATCCACAGGTCTTAGCATAAAGCTTCTCAGCGTATTTGCTGACATGTGATCTAGTCATGGGTGACAGCCAACACAATTTCTTCATGATTAAATCCTTTCAAGGAAAAGCCTCTATGTTAAGGATCCTGGTATTAAACTACATCCACGCTGAATTATTTCCCTGGTACATTGGCAAGAGTATTTCTTGCATTTCTTTTCATTTTGCAAAATGACTCTTCTAGAGAAGAAACAACTTCGTTCCTCATTTCATCAATACACCTATCAAAATGTCAGTGCTGTGACCTGATTGTCCAATATGTAATAAAGGTCAGTGTATGATCAGTTAATACCCATTTAGCTATTTGCAGAATTGCCTGTGCCTTGCTCTATCAGTGACTTAGTAGAGGTGAGACACTTCTGCTTCCTGATAACAGCAGGGTCTGAAGGTTCACGCATCCTCACTAACATCGACTATAGAAGAAAAATATTTTGTCTTCAAATATTCTATATACATATGCATATTACCTAATATGCTACAGATTTAAACTCTTGCTGGTGAAGTAAATCAGCATCTACAGTTACAGGCTCTTCCTATTCTACTTTTCTTGGATTCCTGCTATTTCCACACATAAGCACCCACACTTCTTTGGTCCCACATCTCACTTCCATTTTGTTTTGGTGAGCCCTTGTCACTGCCTAGTCTGCTGTTCCTTCCTTGAGCTCTCCCTTTGATTACCTACCACCCTGTGCCCTCGGTTGTCCGTAAACATTCCTAGCTTTCTGAGGTTTTCTTCATGCTTTTTAGGATCTATTTCTGTCTTTTCTGTGATTCAGTCTCTGGCAACATTTTACTTGGCTCACCTCAAGTACTGATGATTCCCAAAGGATTAAACAGCAGAGCTGTTAATGCAGGTCTTTTTCAGCAATTTCTGATCAATGTAATTTGTTTCAACTGGTGCATAGAAATCACGTGCTTTTCAGCCAACAGTGCTAAGAGTTTTTCCCTAGAAGGTCTGGCAATTGTCCATAGGGTGTGATGTGTGATGATGGCATAAAATATTCTGGGATACCTGCATAATTACTTGGGAAACACTGTCATCAAATCCCGTGGTATGGGTTTATTCAGAAGAGCGATTCCTACTCCATAATAACACTCATTGCTTCCCTTCCAGAGAGTATGCACAGTTTTGTATCCAGGCAACAAAAAAAATCATTGCAGTTTTTCAGTGTATCACTTGTTAATTTCCTATCCTAGTGATAGGATACGTGAAAATGGTTCGAAGCTATACCAGGGAGGTTGACACTGGGCATTAGGAAGCATTTCTTTACTGAGAAGGTGGTCAAACACTGGAACAGGCTCCCTAGAGAGGTGGTCAATGCCCCAGGCCTGTCAGTGTTTGAGAGCCATTTGTACAATCCCTTAACAACACGCTTTAACTTGGTCAGCCCTGAACTGGTCAAGGAGTTGGACTAGATGATCACTGTAGATCCCTTTCAACCAAAAAAGCCTGTCCTATTCCATACTAGTACTGGATTAGCAAAGTTACTTCTGCAAAGCCTTCTTTTACCTTCAGCCCTGGAAATTGCAAACGTAATTTTGGTTGAGCTGGCTTTTATAACATTAACAACTGTTAATGTTACAAACAGGGCTATAACAAGGTGTCAGATTTTACAGTTGGCACAATTTGAGGTAGGAATAAATAAAGCATATTAGGTGCTTCATTACAAATTTCACCTTATGATCAAACACCTCTGATAATAGCAGTTACCTCATGTGGAGAAGTAGTCCGGTGCACAACAGCACAGGTCAGGACTAGCCAATGTAACCTGCTTTAAATTGTGCGCTTCTCAAACATAAGTGTGCCCCATCTTACTTCATAATAATTGTCACACCAAAGCACTAGCCTTAGCAACAGATTCCACATTTGTGATTTGGAAATGGCAGCTGCAAGCCCTGGGGCCAGCCCTCACTGTGGAGCCTGGGCCTTCCCATGGAAACTGCTGCAGTCGGAAGGGTTGATTTAGGGTTTCCCAGGAAAGCAGAAATCAGGAGTGAGTAAAAAAATGCAGACCTTGTGTGAGAAAGGAGCAGTGCTTACTGACTGGGTAGGCCTACAGGCAGGCTTTCCTTTTAACATCACAGATTTGTCAGTTTCCTGGAAATGATGAAGACAAATGTGGAAGAATGAAGAATGATGTGAAAACCACAAAGCAGTCCAGCTTATGTGTCTCAAGTTAAGCATCAGAACCCATTTTGGCGCTCAGGTTCCTTAGTTTTTGTCACTGCTTTTGAATATTTTTACTTTATTATTCTTGTTACAGCTAACTAAAAATGAAAAAAAAAAAAAAATAAAGCCAGTCTTTCTAGTACTACAAATGTGGTTACAAATACACTGGTGTTTCTAGGTTGTCTGATAGCATCGCATAATATGGTAGCTAGTATAAAATCATCAAATATAACCAGTGTGTTGTTCATACACCACTATGTCTTCCAGCTTGTAGAAATTACAATTGGCCTACCAACCAAACACAGCGTTTTATTCAAATCAGGCGATAGTCTACATCAGCATTTTCAGGCCCCTACAAAACTGTCCAGCAGAGGTGTGAGTGCTGCACTCTTTAGAAAAGCCAGGCTTTTCTTGGATACTTTATAAGGCCTTTTCTTCAGTAAAGCTGTGGGTCACCATGTACTGAAATTGCTACAACTTCTGTACTGCCATGGGCATGTTAACCTGTGCTTTTTAAATCAGTGGGATTGATGCAGTGCACCTTCCTCATTTTGCTGACAAATGCTGTATGTATCACACCTAACACATGATGTTCCTGTTTCCCTTTTAGGATGCTGTGTACCTTAGTCCCTGCCTTTTTTTCTGGGGTGACACACACAGCTCCTCCCCTTAAGCCCACAAAAGACATAAAAGCAGGCAGCTGTGCCACCTGAGTGCACATCTGCTCTTCTCCTGTGGAGTTGGCTTTGCTCTTTCTTGCTGTGCAGTGCTGAGGAGTAGGTCCACCCTCAGGCTGTTGCTTCTTAACACTGCTGGTCTTCCCGGCTACTCAGGTATTTGCAGCTAAAGTAAACTGAATGGGGATGGAATAAATGTGTATGAGTAGAAAATGTGGAAAATTCTCAGTGACTGGTAGTGTATCTCTGAATAGTTGAAGGGCTTTGACTAAATGTGCTTATTTATCAGGCTTTACATTTTTGTATCACCTTTGGAATCAGTTTGACTTTTCTTATTTGACTGTCAAAACATTGGCTTCAGAAATGTTTGAGGGTTTGTGTCTTTTTGTGGGAAAACTGTGTAAATGGAACTAATGGTACTGGAACTAAATGAACCTACCAGAGGGATTATGTCTTCTGCAGCACTGGTTCCACTATCCTTTAGCTATTTTTAATTGTTTGCCCAGTGATTGTTGATACACTTTTTTTGACTTGTTCTTCTTAAGAGTTTCTCTGAAGTGATTCTTAACAAAGTAAACAAACTTTCTAGTTTAGACATATGTTTACGTGAAAATCAAGAAATTGCCACAGCATCATTAGGGTAGATTTGCTCCTGTCTTGCTTACATTACATAGTTTTAAAATAGGCATGAATTGCTGCATATTCTGATCTGGTTGTATTTCTAAAACTTTCTGTGCAGGTAAAAAAGACTGCATGTAGGCATATAGGTGTATTTTATGATGAATCAGCCCTTGCATATAGTGAGCATATGCTACCAATTGTAGGATATCATCTCAATGCTTATATCCACAAATCTAATCAGCAAGAATGGAGGACAAGAAAATCTGGAAAGAAGATTCAGATAGTAAAGACAGTATCTGGTGCTAGAGACAATGCAGTTGGCATATTCAATGCTATTTTTCCTTCTCAGCAAGAAGGAAGGGGTTATAAATCTTGCTTCTGCTGTTACTTCTGTCAGTCAATGAAAATACTAAAGCTGCTGTGGTAAAGCTGAATGCGGCTCTTGTTACTCCACCATCTCAAAAAGAATGTAACTGATAGTTGATGTACCACAAGTAGTTTTGATGACAGAAAATATTGCAGCCCATTGTATCAAATTAGACTTCATTTGTTCTACATGAAAAGTCTTGTTCTAGAATGATGTGTTGTTTTCTTTGGCTTTTTTTAAGGAATGGAGAAGGTGGTTGCTTGTCCATACAAAAGGCCAGATGCTCTCTATAGGTTGATATGCTTTCCATGGGCTGGAAGTGGAGCTTCTCAGTTTGCTCAATGGGGCAGCCTCTTCAGCAGTTCAATTGAAGGTTAGTCATTTGTGTGGGTAAAGCAGAAGTTAAGCATGTCTGAAATACATGGTAGCAAATTTTTTTGAATGGACTATGATGTTCTTGATAGCACTGCAATGTTTATCCAGCGGATCTAATCCAGAAAGGAATTCCATTAGGAGCTAGCATTTCCATCAGGGTGCTGTTAAATTTCTGTGCCACCTTGGATCAAATTATACATTAAAAAGTTGTGAAATTTAGCTGTGAGGATACAAGACTACAGTATGCTTGACTGCTTCAGTAACTATTGGTGTGATTCAGAAACAGCAGTACACTGTCATATTGTTAATATGTTAAAAAAAGGCATCAGCAAAGTCAACAATGAAGATATGAGAACCTAGTTTTAATGTTGAGAGACTGACAGAAGTTCTTTTATCCAGAGTGTTTGCATGGTTTTACACTTCTTGTATCAAAACTGAAGTTTAAACTGTGGATTTATGACAGTCAATATGACATTAATAGAGACCATTGCCAAGGCAATTGTACCGGTCCTCTAAATGCTTGTATGCTGTGTGCTTTCTGTAAGCAGTTGCACAAGTCACATCAGATTTGCATGGATTTTTTTTTTCTTCTTAATAAAAAGGGAAGAAAAAGATTTTTTTCACTGGAACTACTTCCAAACAAGTTACTAAGGAGATGGCCTAGAAACAAATGCAGACACGGATGAATAAAATCAGGGTGCAGCATGCTCTTTCAGAGATGTCTTGTGCAGAAAGGAAGTAAGATGTAGACATTTCTGTCTATGGTATTAGATAGTGGTTTATTCTTTCTCTGCTAAAATACTTTGCATCTGACCCATTACTTCCATGTGAGTTTGGAAGTATGTGTGATGTCAAGAAGATTTTAGAAAACCAACTTTCTTTCCCTCATCTATTAATTCCTCACACTGCAGATTTCTGACCCAAGGCATTTATCAATCAGAACAGTTAGAGAGGCAACATTTGGGAGTAAAGGAAGGGGTGTAAACCTAATCTCTTCACAAGATTAAAAAACAGTAATAGAATAGCAAATACACTGTATCAGCTTTAAGAACGCTTAATTTAAATAATATATATATTCTGTAAAATAGATTTAAAAGCTTAATTAAAATGATTGTACTATTTCTATCTGAAATAACTATAATTCTTTTCCCTCCCTTCCTCCACCTCTTCTGCAGTGTCCTCTGTAAACCTTCCTGGAAGAGATTCTCGTCAGGGGGAGCCTTTTGCAAAAGACATGGCACATGTAGTTAATGAAATTTCAAGTGTTTTGTTAAAAGAACTGCAAGAAAAACCATTTGCATTTTTTGGTCACAGGTAAAAATACATACATTTGTAGATACTCCGGTGAAGGAGCTTTATCTTTGAACTCTAGGAATAGATAGTTACTTGCCTTTATTTGCAAAAACTTGAGGAAAATACCCTTCTGCAAAAGCTTTTTGTCAAGTCATCCTAAAACATGCTGTTGATGTCAAAGACTCTTATTACTTCAGGCACAACATCTTCTAAAAACAGCAGTGTTGTGTTTCTTTTTCTTTCTACACTGACAAATTATAATTGTTCTTACTGTTAATATTTGTGTCAGTGCTTGTTCTAAAATGTAGGGGGGTAAACCACACATGAAACACATAGATTTTGAAGATCACTGTCACAAGAATTCAAAATAACTGTTCTTACTGCAAATTAAGGAGAATACTAAAAGAGAGACTAAAAAAAGGTCTGATTTGTAAAAGCAGACTGCACAAGAATACACTTCATGTCAATTAGCTAATATGACTATAACTTACATGTCATATAGTTTGAGTAACTGTTCAAGATAGCCCGTTAACACTGAAAGTCAAATGATATTTAAATTTTATGGGGTTTACATATGTTTTTGCTTACTTTGCTTTAATTTATCTTTTTGCTGCAGCTTTGGATCATATGTTAGTCTTGCAGTTGCACTACACTTGAAAGAAAAGTATGGACTAGAACCAATCCATCTTTTTTTATCAGGGGCACCCACCCTAAACGTAAGTTTCCGAATTGTTACCAGTATGAAACAAAACAGTAAGTTAGCTACCAAGAGTAAAAATAACATTTTAGAGTATGGAATGTAGAGTGGCTTTAACAGAAAACAATGTTTGCTTCTGAATCTACGCAGAAAAATTTCTTGTTTTTTTAAAGGAAATTAATTCTGAGGCAGAGAATTTCACATTACAGAGTATTCACTGCTGCTAACCTTAGCCTGGGGAGAACAGTCTCCTTAAACTAATGCCACATTTCTGAATACGGTATTATTTACTAATGGCCTCTTGCTTAATACCGAAATGTAATCAAAACAAAACATGAAGTGGCACTCCCTACTCTGTAACATGTGAAATAGCCGTCTTAACCTAATCTTTTGTAATCCTCCAGCACCAACCCTCCCTCAGTGTATTTGTCTGTTTCTTTCTCTTCACCTGCTTTGTTGGCTTTTTAATCTGTCCTCAGTTTCTGCTGAGGTTCCGGTGGTCTGCTTGTCTTTTCAGGAAAACAACAGTAAAGTGGCTTTTTCCTAGTCTTCCTGTCCTCAGATGGCATTTGCTATTTCCATTCTTCTGTTTCTGGGGCTTCTGAGCAATCCTGAGTACGAGCTAGTACTTGATGGAAGCAACTGTTATTCCTACGAATTTCCATAATCAGTTGGACTCTCTAGTTCTACATCAGTCAGATTTGTGTCCACTGCTAGGCTTTTCTTTCTCTTAAATAGATTATCAGTTATAGTTCAATTGTGAGAATCAAACTTCAAACAAAATTAATTTAATGGTTACTTGTCTGTGTGAAAGTTTCAGACCTTGAGGGTACTTGGCTCGCTCATAATCCGTATTTTCAGCAAACACAGCCTACTAAGCTTTTCCAATAAGTGTTTTCTGTGGATGTTAAACTAATCAGCCGTTCATTGTATTTTGGAGACACAGAATCATTGTACTTTTTACTAAAACAACTCTTAATTAAGTTATTATTTAAAGTATGTTATATACAACACTTGATCTGTTTTGTCTGGCTGACAGTCTGAAGCATTTACTTACCTCAAAACCGCACATGGTGTAAAAGATGAAGACCTTCTTGCAAATCTAGAAATTTTAGGAGGAACTCCTTTTGAGTTTCCGCAAAATAAAGACAGTAAGAAACATCTGATAAATACTCTCAAAGAAGACTCTAGAGTACTTCACACATGGTCGTAAGTTTTACAATTTTGTATTACATTTATACTTGTATTTTACAGTTTTATTTCTGTCTGATTCAGGTTTTCATTTTTCTCTGTAATTTGTTCTTGTTTCTGTTACAAAAAAAAGAGTATGAAACACTAAACAGTTTTCTCCTTTGTGTGCTTCCAGTAGTTAAGCCCTAGATGAAAACACTGCTTATTGTAGCAATCACTACTGTTATTACAGAAGTGAACATGTCATGGTAGAATTACAGTTCTACATAGGATCTAAAGGAATATTCTCACATCTTTTCTGAGGCTAAAAATCTCAACTGATGGTGCCTCAGGATCACTGAATTTAGTATCCTGATCCATGCCTAAGCAGAAGCAAAGAATCCCTGTCTTCTAGGCATCCAGAGCACAACCAGCTGCTTCTGCCCTAACTGCTGTTCCAAGTGGATGTTACACAACAGCTCATGTAGCTGAGTGGTTAAAGTTTCTTACCTTGGCGAAGACAAGGACACTCTTGGATGTGGGACCCATTTTAGCCATAGGAACCTGATGCTTAATAACGCCCTGAAACATTAGAACTTGAATACAAGCAGAGAACATACTTGTTTATTGTAGGTGATAATTTTCATTGCAGATTGAAGCTCCTTTTTTTCCTATTGGGTCATTCTTTCATTAAAGTTTTTAGTAATTGCAGTAGGGTAAGGACCTAAGAATCTTACAGACACAGTAATTCCTTCCGTCGATCTTCTGCACAGTCTAATTCCTGAAGTTTGTTATGTTTTGGAGGAGAAAGTGCTAATTTGTATATGGAAGAAACCTATATTTGGGGTTATTTCGTGGAAAGTTTCATACTGCTTTATGTTCACAGTTTTGAGATGGCAGATGGGAATAGCCCCTTCTCTTGTGATATTACCTGCTTTAATGGGTCTGAAGATCAGCAAGCACGTGATTTAGAAGGTACTTTGCTTATACTTACACATCTGCCTGTTGTATCAAATCAGTTAATGAAGAGCTTTTCTAGAGTCTTTAAATCAACAAAGCAGTCTCAATGTATGAACCAAACCAGTTGATACGGGATTTAAAATAATTATTAAATAGTAATTTTGAAATTGTTACATAGAATGACTCCAATCGTTAACATTTCTCTGATGTTTCTCATTTAAATATCTTTTTCAGCCTGGCATGATCTAACAAGTGGAGATACTTCCTTCTACAAACTTCCTGGAGGTCACTTTTATCTGCTGGAGCCCTCTAATGAAATTTTCTTGGTAAAACTTATAACAAGATATATAGAACATGCTGGCCTATGAGTATTTCCCTCTATTTTAATGGCAGACAGTGTAAGATTAGTCCACAGCAGTTCAAAATAAGTCATTCTTTCTGTACAATTGCATGCAGTTATGCCTAAGAGTTGTTTTGTTCCTCCTGTGTAATCTTTTAGAAGAGGGAGGTTTTTTTATTTTTTTGAAAATAAACATTGGCTTTGGGTCTTAAAAATAAAACAGTTTCCATCTTTCTTTTTCCCTCTTCTCATCTTGCATGTGCACAATCCTTTATTTCATTCCATAACCTCATTTCCAAGAAATGACAGCTATGTTATTTTACTTTTAGAGCTTCTCTGTAAATATACTTAATGTAATTTAATACCCACAAAAATCCACAATTCTTACAGGAAGCTTAGTTTATTAGGTTTATTTAGAATAAGATACAATCTAAAATATAGAGTGGGTATGCAAATACCCTTTACAGTCAACCAGCTTATGATTAAAAGATTTTACTGTTAGACAACACAATAAGGAATTAAGGAGTTAGTGTTGCATTTTTCTCATCAGCGTTAGTTCATTAGCTACTAAAGGGTTAGTTGTTAGTGGGAATTATTTTGATTATTCTAGATCCCATATTTTTCTACCATTTCTTTTACTTTGGAAATATAGGCTTTCATGGCATCCTCCTTTGATAAACCTGCAAAGGAAAGCAGAGTCATTTTCCTTCCATATTTGTCATCCTATAAACATGACTAGATGATGTAAATTTAATTGATGTAACACCTTTTTTCAGGTTCCATGTTTCCCACTTGGCTTTGGCTTTCAAATCTAGCATTCCTGGATATTCTGCCAAAATAAATGTATACCTTTAATTATCATGTAGATTTACATAACATTTGCTTGATTTCATCAAGATATGGGAGTAAATGTGAAGTATATATAGGAATAGGAGTACCAATATTAATATCTCCAACAGTAGCCTGTTTGTATAATCCATATAGTTCCTTCAGTTCTTCATCAGTTGGCCTTGTTTTTAATTTTTTTACATCTTCTGCAGCAGCATTAAAGTCAGCCTGATGGAAAAAAGAAAGTTTTCCTCTCAAGGAGTGTGCTTAAAACATTAAGGATAAGATGCACAGTAGTATCATTAGACACTCGCCAATTACTCACTTGGGTTTAGTGGTAAATCTAGGCATTTTCCCATGAAAGATTAATAAAACCATAAGTTATTAGAAAGGGAACCAAGGCTACTTATCTGATGGGGTCAGCACCACTATTTGTGAACCTATTTTTTTCCAACAGCTTTACGTCTAAACGCTTGGACCCATTATTGCCTGTCTAGTGTCAAGGTATCTACAAACACACTCATGCAAGCAGTCTATACAATCAACACAGTGTAAATGTCTTTCACAGTCACACTGGGGGTATGAAGACGTTCACTGAACTTTACACCCCAGCAGTGATCTCTAAATCCTTCTGGCCCTGACTGCATAGTGCTGACTTAAGCAGCAGAGCTCAAATACCCTCTGGGGGTTACTTCCTACTTCGTTTCCACTTCTCTGCTGACAGTGAAGTAGGGAACCAACAGCTGGCACAGACGTGCTGCTATTGCCAGGACCACCTTCAACACCCAACTCAAAACACAGGGGAAAACATTAAATTTGCCCCATTCATCATCATGCAGCCCTCACTCATATCAACCCAAAGCTATAGCCATTATTCTCTCTACATACTAGAATCATAGGATGGTTTGAGTTGGAAGGGACCTTAAAGATCATCTAGTTCCAACCTCCCTGACATGGGCAGGGACACCTTCCACTAGACCAGGTTGCTCAAAGCCCCATCCAACCTGGCCTTGAACACTGCCAGGGATGGGGCAGCCATAACTTCTCTGGGCAACCAGACTGGATGCCAGTGTGTCACCACCCTCATAGTGAAGATTTGCCTAGTATCTAATTTAAAAATGATGAAAACTGTTTTAATTGAAGTAACTGGATTTAGTCAGCTTGTATCAGAATTGAAAATGGATTATATGGATAACAAAAGGTCTTTCTCTTCTTTGCTCTGGATAAAGAAAATGTAAATATTTTCTTCTACAAAGTTTAATGTCAGAAATACAAAACCTCATTATTTGTTTTCCTAAAGGCTAGAAACAGGAGTGCAAGCTTCCTCACCTCAGTTGAAAGAGAAATTGTAAAACATTTCATAAAGTGTCTTCTGCCTCAATTCATCCAAGAGTTTAAATAACATTTGTGGGGCTTGTTTGTCTCCATTTTAAACACAAACTAAAATCTTCATTCCTGAGTTGCAGCTATGTGAGCAGAACCTGTTCTTTGCACTGAAGTAAAATTCAGCATTTCTGACAGCTGCAGGCTCCAAAGCCAGTCCTACCTTTCTGCTCTTGTTTGTAGAACTCAAGCACTCTTGGCTAGGTCTCCCAAATACTTTAACGATACAAACAGTAATAGTTGCCTGATGTCCCCCTTAGAAACCTGACAAAGTACAAAATTCCATAGATGGTACCATACAAATAGTCATACTCGTATAAGTATATAAATCTTGGAAAAATCTATGGAGGGTCCCATTTAAAAAGTAGCCGTATTAGCAGCTTAGTTATTAAAATTAAATAATAATAAAAGCAAGCATTTTCCCCAAACACTTCAAGTATCATTAAAGCATCTAGTTGTTTCCAGCTAACTAAGCTCAAGGATTTCCTCAAAAGACGACAGTATTTTGAATAGATGTAAAGCATTTATTACGCAGAAGCGCTCAACAAGGAGAAACAAAATTAGCGATGCAACTACCATCATTGAATTAACAATGTCTGAAGGAAACTGGAACTGTACATCTCTGACAGTCCTAAAAGCAAAGCATTTATACTCACTCTGTTGGTATAGATGTATAAAAAGGATGTACGTTTGCTTACCAAAAGAAATGTGATGGCCCACCACTCTTGAGGTTTCTTTTATAGGTAGAATTTATTAAAATAAGTATTTAATTCTAAATCCAAACACCAGGATTGTGACATTTTTGACTATACCTATCACAGACTCCTACATCACAGACATCTCTTAATACTATCCATACACGTACAAACAAAAGCAGCATTCATGCTCTGTTAACAGCAAGATTAAGACGTGCTATCAATAATAAAACATAACTGAGTTGCCACAATTGATTAAAGTTTAAATAAGTTCTATCTACCTTCACCTTTACACTGTAGCCACTGCTGCATGTGGGCCTCTGCCAGCACTGAAGTACAAGGACCATTCAAGTCAGTGGAAAGCTTCCACATGCTTTGAATTGTTTTCTGGTCTAAACTTCACAGTAAGAATGAACTAGAAGCCTTGCTGGACTTCTACAAGACAAAAATTAACTCAGAAAAAAAGGAAACCAATAATTTTATAAGCTTCTTATCTTCATACACTTATATCCTATCTGGATTTATTGGCAAGTATCACAAGATACTGTTTTAAAAAGATGCAAATGCATATCTTACACAGCAAGAAATACACAGAAATAAAATGTAAACACTTGTTTCTTCATCTCCCTCTAGCTAATCATTGTGCACACACTTGCTCAGGATTTGCTTGTTTACACAATATATTTAGGAGCAGCCTATCAAAATATAATTTCCTTTTAATCACATGGCAATAAAATTCCCTTTTAACTCCTCAAATCAAAAGCAAAAGCATATATACAGACGTAACATACACACAGGCATTAACGGTAAATGCACAAATCATCAGATTATTATCACAGACTCCATTTGTGCAAAGAAAAAAACTTGAATGAATTAATTTACAGCAGAGTATTTTACCAGTTTGCAAAACTTACAAATCTTTTAGAGCCTCCCTGATGGAAACATTGTTCTACTAAATTTGTCTTCACTCCCATACAGTTTGATTCAATGAATTTTTATGGATATGGATGGTAGCTGTCAACCAAAGCCACAGTGGATAGAAAACCTCTATAATGTCTAATGCAGAATGTGTAACATGTCGTAGCATTCAAGCACTGATTTTTATGTGAAAGTGTAACTGTACACAGCAATGGAATGGCAATATCATACTGCACTCAGCTCTTTCCAATGTGATTTATGGCTCATTGCATAATTGTCAAGCTAGTAAATTTATGCTCTAGAGTGAATCCAAGGCAGAATAAAACAAACTAATCTCAATGATCACTAATTAAACAAAGTGTTTAATTTGGTGTTATGTTTGGGATTTGATAATTCTGACCCATTGAAGATGTAAGATTCTTCTCCTTTGCTGTAAAACACCACAATGAAACCTCTGTGCCATTCAGTGTAACTGGAGCTCAGAAAAAAATTGCTGAGCTACTGGCAATACTCTCCCTGCATCTAGGTCAGAGCATTATGCTGCTCTTTGCAAAACATGCACGCTAACCAAGCTGAGAGGGACATTAAAATGAGACTGGGATAAAGGCACTTGCAAATCTTGAAGTGAAAGGAATAATAGAAAGCCTAATGAAGAAAAACAGTCTAATCCATCAGGGCATGAGCAGGACAAGGGAAGTATTCATCGTCTGCTACAAAGGTAGGAGGCTAAAAGCCAGCAATGGAGATAATTTTCTCAAGAACTATTTAACTCTATAGTCAGAGGCAAGGTAGAAGGAAGTTGTCTCTAGCCAAGAAGGAAGAAAGTAGCAACTTTCCTAACAAAACACAAGCCCATCAAAATGCACCACTCCAAACATGCACACACTCTAAAAATATATGCACAACTCCCTTAAAAATTACGCTTTCCAAATGCACACATACTGCTGCTTCAGTGTTAGAAGCCTCCCTCCTCCTTTTATAGCTACATCCTAAAAAAATAAATATGTAACTACCTTTCAGTGCATAATGCAGTCCTAGCAAACTCAGCTGCACACACAAAGAAAAACAATTCATGCACTCTAAACAGGTAAAGCTCCAAAAATTACATGACTTCTGCGAGTTCAAAATAAGCAGTATGTCTTTCATCCTTCACTTGCAAGAAGTAATGCAGTATTTAACTTCCAAAGGCTTAGGTAAATTTCTTGCGCTGCAAGGTAACCTTGAGTTTGCAGTAATAATCCTTATGCTGGAGAAACACCTCTCTGATCTCCGACACGGCACTGCACAGATGGACAGCACATCCCCCTCCCTCTCCTCTCCTTGTGCCTCTTCCCCAGCAAATGCGAAACTGCTTACCTCGAGAGTCATGATGCTGCGAGGATGCCCGGGGAACAGCCTCCCTCCTTCTCCAGTGGGGATGTAGCGCTTCTGCCTCTTGAGTCCCGTGGTGTGAGCACGGTGGTGGGGACAAGCTCCAAGGAGGGTGTTGGGCTGGGTACCAGTGACCTCAGCTTGCCAGCCACGGCACAGCCACGCTGGCGCAGGACACGGGGGCTTGCTCACACTGCAGGGACAGCTGAGTGGCGACAAGTGCCAGGGAAGGCTTGGTGGGAGCATTAAGCACACACTAGCTTCTTCAGAGAGCTTGAGCTCGCTTCCATACCGCTGAGGATTAGGCTGCCCTCCTAAGAGCAGAGATACAGCAAGGCTTCCAAGCCCTCTCTCTGAAAAAGGAATTTCTTGAGTGATTTAAACCAAAACCAGCCCAGCTATTGCCACTGTTCCTCTGCCACAGCCCCTGCCTGGGACCTTGCATCCTCCAGCTGCAACTCTGAAAAATACGGGGGTCATCTGGGGGACACCACATGCCAGCAGTCACACACACAAAATACCTTGAGAATGCTGGTTTTTTTTCTTTGCTCTGCTAAATGCAGGATTAAAAAAAATGAATATTAACTGATAAACTAACCTACACGGTAACCACTAATGGAAAAAAATCCATTCCCCCTTACCTGCCAACTCATAAATTACTCATATTCATGCCTCTGTACACTTACAATTCCTTAAACAGGTTTAATCTACATGTATCTGTATAGTATTAAGCTATACTACTACATGCTTCAGCGTTTTAACCCCTATAAACCCAGATAAAAACACAGAAACGGAGTGTGCTCGTACAGATTTGTCACTGGCTCTCGGCAGGTTGTGGGAAACCCTGAGCATAGCTGCCTCTTACCTGTCGCCTTACTGTGACAGAATACGATGTATACATGCAGTAGGGCACACATTGAACAGCAGCGACAGACCTCCCTATCGCTCTGAAGTCCCTGTGAAGGGCGTTTTGACTTGGCCATTATTTCATTAGACGATGTACGACAGACCAGATCTATTACCCCCTGTAAAGCAATTTATGGTAGCACTCAGAACGAGGAAATGCCGAGAGCAGGTTTCCACCATCGGCGCTCCGAGGCCAATGCGCTGTTTGTCTACCCGGTACTGGCTACTGCCCGCCTGCAGCCGGGCTCCGGCGGCTTCGCTCTCCGTCCGTCCGTCCGTCCGTCCGATCTGCGCGCTCTCCTTCTTCCCGCCCTGCGCAGCCCCTTCTCCACCCGCTCCCACTCCAGGCCCCGTAGCTGGAGGCGGGGAGCAGCGGCGGCGGATCCCGCCATGCCAGCGCAGAGGCGGGCCGAGGGGCGGAGCTGGGCCGCTCTGGGCGCCGACGCGCTGCAAGCGACGCCGTGTGCGCGGGGAGCGTTGGAGGAGGTAGGGTTGCTTCGCTGCTGCAGGCTGGAGAGGGACGGCTGAGGCCCGGGCTCTGGAACGGGCGCGGGAGGACGCCCCGCTCCTGCGGTGGCGACGCTTTGGTCCTGGTCCGGCGTGCAGCTGATCCGCGGGCAGGCTCGGCCCGGCGGCTCCGGGGAGGCGGGTGGAGGCCGTGGCTCGAGCCGGCCGGTGCGTTTGCAGCGCGATCTGCTGGTGCCGCGTGGTACCCGCGTTCCCGGAGCGGGCGCGCAGGAGGCCGGCGGAGAGGGGCTGGCTGCTGGCGGACGCGGCCGAGCGCGGGAAGCAGGGGGCCGGGACGGTGGTGCGAGGTGCAGGAGTTCAGCGCGTCTTTATTTCATCGTTGCTTTGTTTCCTGTTCTTGCACGCTTATTTTCCTCAGTAGTGCCCATTTTGAAAAGTTAAACTGAAAAATCTCTCGGCTCTTGCTCCTTTCTCAGGTATAAGTGGCTGTCTTGGCTTGATAACCCTTGCAAAAGGCCATCAGAGCATCCCCAATTGAAAGCTGTTAAAAACGATAATCCTCAGCTCTTTTTTTTTTTTTAACCTATCATAAGCTTCCATTTCCGGTTCAGTTCCATACAAGATTTCTAGTGGTCATTTCCAGTCTACAGCTGCTACCGTGTTTTGGTTGTTGCAACTGTAATGGTAAAGCAAAGGGGATCAGATAACTGCATGGATGATAGCTCCATTAAGGACTAATGAAATAAATTGGCAGATCTTCCATCCCTGATGGAGCCATTCTGGGTGGCTGGGAGCAGAGGGGAATGGCAGCCCCTCCCTCCCCAGACAGTTTCTCCAGTTCCCAGTGTCGGAGGCAAACAGCTGGGATGAATAGAGCATCGCCTGGATGCCCTGCAGGGCACTGCACACGTTCTGAGAGTACTGAGAGGGCACAGTGCTTTGCTGCATTTTGAAATACCTATTCAGTTTCACTGTTCTCTGAAAACCACTCCTGTGTTTCTGACTCATGGATGACACCATCACAGTTTGCACTGCATTGATAAAAACTCCTGTTTGTAAGCTTGGCTATGCAACACTGAAGATATCACTGACTCAGCAAGGAGATGGTGAATGGTAATCCAAGGAGGAGTGTGGGGCCTTGGTGAGTTATCAGGGACTGTAGTCAGGCCTGCGTTCCTGCTCTGTTACTCAGGACTAGATTAGTCAGATCTGTAACAGTTTTGCTTTCCCTACACCCATTTCATTGAACCTAAAGGCATGGTCTAGGTCACACAAGAGTAAAAGACACGTGAATTTTCTGGAAGCCCACAAAGGATTCCCTTCCTCCATGGAAAGCATAAGTTTATTAATAAGAGTCTGCAGGTTTCTATCATACCTTCTAAATGCAGACAATAGACATGGATAGACAATGCAAACACAAGACATTGATTATGGAATGAAAAGGCAGAGTTTTAAAAATCCTCAATAAATTCAGGAAGTTGGAGCTTGTTTCATGTTGTGATTCTGCTTTTTTTTGGTTTGGCTGTTTTTCATGTCATTATCCTGCTACAGCGTAGCTGGCTCAACAGTGAAAACTGAGTGGTCATTCAGCTTGTGTGGTTCTGGGATTTTTTGTTTTGTCTTTTAGAACTATGGCATCTCCATCTGGTCTTGAGCTTCAGAAGGTCTCTTGTACTGGTGGTGCCTTGCTGTCCACTCTGCTGTTTTAATTACTTTTCATTAAAAAGAGGCATCTGCCGTGTGAAATACGTGTTAAAGATCAGCACTGAGCTTATATGAAGGTGGCAGTAATTGCCAGTGTTGCTTTGAGATGTGACATTTCTCTTCTGTGTTCCCAAAAGAAGCTTCTGGTACTGATGTCCGCAGCAACCAGCACAGTATTTGAACTAACACTTACGTCTTTCTTCCCTTCACAGCTAGGGTGGCAAAACACAAAAGAGGCTCAGGATGTCTGTAATTCAGCAAGGGACAGCACCACTTCGCAAAGCAAAGAAAGCCACTGTAAAAACATGTCTAGATAACCCCTTTGTTTTAGAGTGGAAAACCATTGATGGTGAAGATATGCATTTTATATTACAGACCTTAGAAGAAAGGATTAAACATACTGGGCTTAAAAAGATTGAGACTCCAAGAGTGAAAAAACGTTCCCTTACAAAAAAACAAATGGAAAGAAAGTGTAATGCTGGCACCAGTGAACTCCCTAAGGAAGAGAATGCAGAAGGCCATCGACAAAAAATGGGGTGGACTGACACAAGTATCAGAAGACAGCTTGCTATTGGAGTTAATGAAGTTACAAAAGCATTGGAAAAAGATGAACTTCTTCTCTTGCTGGTGTGCAAGTCTGCAAAGCCTGCTATGATCACATCGCACCTCATTCAGCTGAGTGCAAGTCGAGCCACGCCAGCAGGGCAGGTTCCCCGCCTCAGCGAAACTATTGCACCACTTCTCGGCTTAACATCCATTTTAGCACTAGGCTTTAAGAAGCAGTCTGATAAATTTACAGAAGCAATAGCAGCAATAATTCCCAAGATACCAGCTTTGGAAGTGCCATGGTTTCAGTACAGAACTGAAGAATCTGTGGATTTTGCTCATGAAGGTTCTTCAGAAAACGAAGAACCTGAGCAGCTTGCAGAGGTGCTGGGGGATGAGTTTGTGAGCCTGAAGCGGAAGCGTATGGAAAGCAATCTTTCAAATGTAATTTTGCAGCCTATGAAAATCAAGAAACTTTTCCCAAATCCAAATAAGATTAAAAAACCACCTCGCAAAAAGAAGAAAGCCTTTTCAGCATAACTGATTTTTTAAATGCAATATGGAGTACAGCTGTAACTGAACTATCTTGTTAGGCTTTAGGGTGTAAAGCACTTGAATACAAGGTGGACTTGATGTTGCATTCAGTCGAGGTACTTTCTGCTTTAATAAAGAATATTGCTCAAACTTGGGTGCAAGTCTTTACCTGAGAGCAAATATTTCATTTGCAGAGTTAAAATTGATAATGAATATTCTGATGTGATTTAAGAAGTCATAATAAGTACATCTTTGGAATTAATGCAAAGCACTAAACAAATTTTGTGTTTTTATACAGATGAACATGCTTCAAGCAAAACAGATTTAAATATAATTATTCAAACAAGTCAATACCAAAAGTGAAAGTTTATTTAAACAAAGGTCCATGCCAGTATAACTTTTAAAGCTGGTTCAATGCTTGTTTCAAGTAAACAGCACAGTTGGCCTTCCCTTTGGAACTGTCATAGTTTGCTGAACAATAACCTTGTTCTGGTGAAGAACATAGGCAGACTTGACTTCCATAATACCTGGTGTCTCGTATGCTGAAGGAACAATATTTTCAAATACAGAACAAACCCCAATTACTGATGCTGCATTTTGAAAGATGAATTCCTTATGCAAGCTATTAACACACACCCTGTGAGAAAATGTAAGCTAACCTAAACTCCATTTGATTTCTAAATGGAGTCTATTAATTTCCCAGGAAATTAGATAAGTCATACACTGTTGGGTATAAAGTAGGTGACAGCTGTAACTGCTACAAGACTGAAAACATTCCACATATCTTTTGAGTTTTCTTTAGTTTTACTAGAGACGACAGATAGTTTCCTAATGAGATATTTGTGTTGTAGGAAGGACGGGGAATAGTGCTGCAATTCAGACAATCAAAATAAACAGCCAAGGAACTTACTTGGCACTCTGCAGTTTAAGCAAACATCAGTATGGTATTGTAGAAGAAACACAAAATACCTTGAGTTACTTTGTATTCTTAAAAATGGAATTTACATGTCATATGTTTCAGAAATTTGCTAATCCAAATATCCCGTACCATCAGATACCTAATCTGTATTTTGGTTTTTTTTTAGGCGTGACTTTAGTTCATGATACCAACTACAAATGGAGGCAGTAGCAGTGATTCCGTAATCGTGATGCTCTCTTAAGTTTAAACAGAAGTAAGATATTTAATGCCAAAGTTTCTGTCCTCCCTGGCTGAGGGTGGTGAGAAGAGATGAGGGGTTTTTGCCTGGCTTTGTAGTCCTTCATACATAGCCTTTGTTCTGGCTTTTTGTATGCAAAAAACGGCATGCTAGCACTAGTGTACTTAGCCATGCTAGTTAACTGTAATGTTTGCAAGACAGGGAAGTTTACCGTTCAGATTCAGAAGCAAATGGCACCGTTCTCCCAGAATACAGCATAAGGGTGGCCACACACCTTCCTTCATGTGCAATTACCCCAAGACTAGGGCAGAAAGCCAGGTTCAAGTCTGTCTTTTACCTGGACATATTTGGGCCCATCATGGCCTCAATGCTTTTCCAAACAATAGTGCTGGGGAGGATTTCCCTTCTGATTTCAGAGAAGAGGTCTGGCTATCCCTTCTTCCACTTGCATTTCCATGAAGGGAAGGGAAGGCAGACAACAGTGAGCATATCTTTCACCTGGCATTCAAGATCACCCCTCCAGGTAAGGGAATGTCTGGCCACAACCATTTCTTAGCAACTCAGTACCCTAGCCATGAAGACAGAGCTATGCCCTGCTATCCCACCTCATGCTGAACAGCACCCAGATGAGCTCTGCCTTTTAAAGCTGAAGCAGAACGCACTGAGACTCTTGGTGCACCTTCCTCCTCATCCCAGCAGGCTCCAACGCCAATGTCCAGCCAGGAAGGCACCTTCCTGCCTTTTGGGAATTAAGAACTAAGTCTTTGATGGAGTTGAGATTAAATCCTTGATACCTCAGATATCATTACCATCAGTTACA